ATTTATTCCATCTCAAAAGTGTGACTTTATTTACACAATTTTTTTTTTTATTTCCATCATATACTATATATTTTTTCAGTTATCAATTTATTTTGTATAAATACAACATTTTCCTAATTTTACAAGAATAGAAATTCAAAACACATTAAACAAAATGTTCTATAATGTTAAATATATATAGTTGGGTCTAATAGTATATTATGGGCCTAGCCCGTAGCCCAAAGTAGACTATATTTGTTTATTTATATTTATATGTAAATTAGTTTTGTTAGAAGTAATAAGATAATGGTATATAGTTAGGTCTAATGGTTTATTATGCGCGGATGGTGTCTATGCTACAATCGGGATGTTCGGCTACATATCATTAAATTCGATCCCAAGTCCCTAAGGTTATGTTTTTTTGTGGATTTTATCACTGGTCTTTACTATTCAGATTTTTTTTTTCTTCAAAAATATTACTTTAAACAATTACTTTCTTTTTTATATTATACTACGAATTTATTTTACATTCAAATCACACATTAACTTTTATTTATCACATCAAACAACTATTCAAATTCAACTTTTTACTATTCAAAAATTCAAACCCAAAAACTAAAACTCACAAACAAACACACCCTAAGTGTCTTTTTCTTGGGTAGTTTCGTGTTCAGAAGGATTATCGGCGTTATCATCGAAATCTTAACCACCATCTTGTCTCTCTGGACGTAGTCTTTCTTTGAATCTACTAGTTTTCCCTTAGATTTATGTTCCTACTTCCCTTTCATATGATGATTGATTGGTTTATACTGAGTCTCCACCTCCAGCTCTGTCTATTGGGTTTCAAGCTCACATTTCATATAAGACTATTCTTTTTTCACAAGTGTATTGCCGTCGTCCGAAACCCACTCTGCCATGCCCTGCACTAGTCTCTTCTTCATCTGTAGTTTATGCTCTATCCGTTGAGTCCATTGAGTCTCTGTTTGCACCCCTGAAGCTATTGAGGATCATTATATTGCTCTTCGTAAAGGTAACCGTCAGTGTGTTTATCCTATTGCCTATGTTGTTTCTTTTGAGGCACTTCCTCATTTTGGTTGGCATACTGTTATGATTGATGAGATGAACGCACTAAACTCAAATGACATATGGCAGTTGGTTCTATTACCGAAAGGAAAACATTCCTTTAGTTGTCGTTGGGTCTTTGCAGTTACGTTCCATACTGATGGCTCTATTGCTCGCCTCAAGGCGCACCTTGTGACTAAGGGTTATGCTCAAGCTTATGGTGTGGACTATGATGAGACGTTTACTCCCATCGTCAAGTTGACATTTGTTCGTACATTGATTTCTTTAGATGCTCTCCATAATTGGCCATTGTGGCAATTAGATATGAGCAATGCCTTCTTAGATGGACCCTTTGTTGAGGAAGTGTATATGGAGCAACTACCTGGGTATGTTGCTCAGAGAGAGTCGGAAAAAGTATGTCGTTTGTGAAAGTCCTTATATGGAATGAGTCAAAGTCTTTGGGCGTGGTTTGGCAAATTTAGCCACGCAATTGAGAGTTTTGGGATGATGAAGTGCAAATCCGATCATTTTATATTTTATCATTGTACAAATTTTGACATTAATCTTCTTATAGTATATGGGATCTTAACTTTAAAGGAATTCATCCAATACAGACTAAAGATCTTTGTGAGCTACGATATTTCTTAGGAATTGAGATGTTCATGAAGAACGGTATTTTTCTCTCCAAGTAAAAATATATTCTTCATTTGTTGACTATACAGGGAAAATCGAAGCTAAACCATCCAGTGCTCCTATGACACCAAACCAAATACTTACGAAGGAAAGGACAACTTTTGGAGAGCCTGAAAGATATCGAAGACTAGTAGGTATATTAAATTATCTCACTATAACCCGAACAGACATAGCATATCCTGTTAGTGTGTAAGTTAGTTAATGAGTACACCTACAATCCGTCGTTGGGAGGCTTTAGAACAAATTTTGACATACTTGAAGAGCACTTCAGAACGGGGAGATTGTTATACAAGAACTGTGGGCATGATCAAATTGAGTGTTGTTCTAATACTAATTGGGCAAGCTCTAAAATTGATTGTAGGTCAGACATTTGGATCTTGTGTATTTGTAGGTGGCAACCTAGTTTCATGGAAAAGCAAAAAACATATTGTGTTATCTAGATCAAGTGTTGAATAGAGTATCGAGCCAAAACGCATTCTATCTCTGAGATTATATGGATTTGTCACTTCTTGCCAAAGTTGGGAATCCAAATCTTGGCTCCAACAAGATAATCAAACAGCCATTCACATAGCATCAAATCTTGTGTTCTATGAGCGAACTAAACATATTGGTTGTCGGAAAAAGATCCAACAAGAAGTAGTTATTACAAATTATGTCAAAACAAGAGACCTACATGGCGATCTACTGACCAAAGCTTTGCTTAGCCCTCAACTCAAATACCTTTGTGACAAGTTAGGGATGTTCAACATTTATGCTCCAATTTGAGAGAGAGTGTCATGTATTGCTAAATACATATATTTATGGTTGAGTCTAATTGTATATTATGGGCCTAGACCAAAGTAGGTCAGATTTTTGTACTTAGATTTATATGTAAATTAGTTTTGTTAGAAGTAATAAGATAAATCGCCATTTACACCATAGTTGTCAATAGCACGCTATAACGGCGTAGCGTAGCGTAAATGCACTTTGCTGCTCCGGCCATTCCGCAATTTTGCATTTACGCAATAGCGGTGTAGCGGCCTGTAGCGGCACTCCGCTACATTACGCTATACCGATATTGTAGCTTATTGGATTATTTTTTAACATGTAAATAATTAAAATTTAACTTTAACTTATAAAATATATTTTTTTATTATAATATAGATAAAAAATATATATATATATTTATCTTAAATCTTAACTAAATTTTTTGATTCATTCCAAGAAAAGAAACACATTAGAAAGCCAAAAGTTGCAACATTTTATTTATATCAAGTATAACCAAAATTTGTTAAATTACTAGGGTAGCAATGATGTGATTGGTCCTATTATTTTAAATGATTCCAATGAGTGATTAATTAAAGAAGTTGATAATTGCAAATGATAAGTTAGTTTTTCATAATGATAATTTGACTAGGGGAAATGTTGTTGATGCTAATAGGTTTTCTATCTTTACTATGATACAAACATTAATACATCAATGAGAAAGAAAGCTATAGCTACTTTTAATTCTAAAAAGGGAAATGATATTACACAATGTGACGAACATACAATTGAATAAATGGATGGGAATGATGAAGATGATTATAGACAAAAGTAATTAAGCAATGATGATGATGAAAATGAGGAAGAAATTTTTTATCAGATTTTGTTATGATCATATATATATATTGACATTTTATTGGTTTGGGTGATAATTATGAAATTAATTTATAGATTTTTTTATGTATTTTTGTTATAATTTTGTATATACAATAATTTATATATATTTATTTAAATATTTAAATAGCGGTCATACTGCTATTCGCTATCCCACTATAACATTTTAGATGATTGACAACTATGATTTACACAAAGTATGCATCTAGTCGAAAAAACCACATCTAACATTAAACAGAAAAGAAAAAAGCAATATATTGTATAGTAAACAAAAAGCATAAGATTATACAGAGTTTTTGAGGTTTTGAAAACTTTTTAAAATAGTAGAAAATTGAATTACTGTTTTGTTAAAGAAAAAAAAAATATGATGAATAGTATAAAAAAATTCAAAAATATCTTTACATTCAGAGCTATGCTAATTTCAGAGGATATAAAATGGATCTGGCAAACTTAGAAGGTAATGAACTATGTTTGCGTGTGAGCACGTGTGTATAAAGCAAGTCGCGTACTCTAAGAAGGCCAGGCGAGAACCACAACCTCGAAGAACATGGAATTTGCCGTCTTAGGCCTTGTATTTCTGAAACCACAAAATACATACTTGTATATATGCCAAAAGCTAGAAATGGACATACATATAGAGATATATATCTATATATGTATATACATATGTATGTCTTGCATATCCAGAAAAGCGAAGAAAAAAAAATGGCTTATACGAATGAAGAAATGGCTAATTAACTTACTTTTCTAGAAAACAGACTAAATGGCTGAAGCCTCAACGCTGATAACCTCCATTGCGGTGTACCCAACTTGAACCGACACAACTGACCATTAAGCAAATAAGGTTTCGACACATTTACTGAAACCTGCACCCATATTCATGTACTTGCTCTTCTTGTGCGCACTAGATACGTTTTTCCTCTCAAATATCATATGCAGATGCTGAGAGATGCTATACTAAACCACGTCACTCGAGCATTTGTAGTATCACTCTCTATATTCTCATTTCCATTTCCCTGCACATTCAAGCAGAAGCATTTTCGGTTGCACTTTCTGGAGCATAATGCAGCACTTCTACAATGTATATAATCAATACGTAAATTAAAATACACAAACATTTTCGTTATTTCAAGCCCAAGTAGTATAAATCTCTTAAGAGGATTCACATAAAGCTCCATCACAACTTCATATTCGCCAGAAAAGATGCAATGATCAGCCAGTAGATTTTTTTTGAATAATACGGCAGCAATAAACCAAACTCAAGAATTTAAGCTAATTAGGCAAGAGATAAACTTCTCTATCTTAATTTGACTAAGAAAAATGAAACAAACAACGCAGCATGACTGGAAAAAGCATCGAGTACGAAGTTTAATTTAGAATTACCTGCGGGACAATTTATTTAGCTCCTCACAAACTTGCTTGAATGATACCTAGAAACTTTCTCATCTCAAGATCCAGATCCTGCCGGGAAATTTAGCTTATACTCTAATAGCAGTTAATATACAGTAGTACTGAACAAAAGAAAAAGACCGACTACCATAAATGTATGCTTACTTTGTATAATGTACACTGTAGATACTTATCCACAACTCTCGTGCACATAATTGTAAATAGCAAAGTAATGAAGCTCAATAAAGAAAGTTAAGCTTATTCCATTTGTGTTCACAATCTTTCACACTCCAAAATTTCACAAAAATAAAATAAAATAAATTTTTTCCCAAATATGAAGAATCGCCAGACCTACCCAAACAGAGTAAATTAGTTCCACGGCATTCTAAGCTGCAAATTTCATGATGAAAAATCAACTGCATTCAGAAACGCAACACAAAAACTAGAGGTTTACTACATAATCGTAGGTTCTAGTGTTTTAAGTGAGATTTCTACCTCTCACATAAACCCAAAACTAATGAAAGTTCTGCAACCACCACAAGCTTTCAGGCATTCTCTCTATCCTCATCCACAAAATTAACATCAGTTGCCTCGTATTGGAAATCACGATCATCATCCTCCATAGTTCTTCCATAGAAAAATTGTTTGGTCCCCATTGTAGTGAAAGGCATCAAACCAAATGCACGTGCTGTCTTAATCTCCCGAGCAATCTTCCTCTGGGCCTTGGCACTGATCCCAGTCTGCCCCACAGAGCCAAAATTCGTGAAAGAAAGATTAGGTACCCTATTGCTTTCCATTCATATAACACTACAGGCAAAGGCCATGAAAATATAAAAAATTAACATACCTTGCTCCTCTTGATAATGATACCCGCTTCTGTGATGAAGTTGGCAAGAAATTTCACATTCTGACCACAAATGAAGCAACAGGAGTAAGTAACTAAACTGGACACTCTCTTGCTTGTAGAATGGACGGGAAACAAACAGTATACTTTCTGAAAAGTAGAGCAATATAAAATTCAATGCACACCCTGAAATCAGCTTTGTTCAACACTTCTTCAGTTGTAGTTTCGAACCCAGGCCTCTTGACAGGTTTACGTACCCCAGGCCTTCTCAGGTCAAGATCCTACATAAATTTGTAGATACATGTGCATGTGAAAATATATATATATATATATATATCAATGCAAGGTTTGGTATATGAATAACTGAATGAAAAGAATAAGCAAATTGAAATCATACAAAATGTCTAAGTTTAACATGGCCAACCAAACATGTGGATATATATACAGAGAACTTGATCAAAATCATAATAGTCAATAGGGAACGATAGCACCACTATTACACCGGGGATGACACCACCACTCCATTGCGGTGCATTATGCACTTGCTATAGTAACGGCTTGTTGCAGTGGGGCAGTACAGAGAATTTCAGGGGAGAAATATAGCCATTCTCTATCAATAGAGTGGAAAAAAGAGTGCAACTGAAGAATAAAAAAATATACATCTATCAGATTTTAAATCTCTTATTAAGTTTGGTTATCTATATATCAAAGCATTAAATATCCAATTGTTTTTGTTTATATAACTATATACAATCATATATTTTGAAATATTGTTTAGTTCAACATATGAATATATGTTATAATTGAAATGATAATTATGATATAAATTGATAGAAATTTTTTTTTTTTTTTTTTTTTTTTTTTTTTGTATTTTGATTGTAATATTTATATATTTAAGCTTTTAAATGGCATTATCCTGCTATCTGCTAATGGTTTACAGAGCCGTCCCTATTTACTGCTATCCAAGATTAAGAATTATGATCACATTCATTCAAATCATGAATTAGAGAACAATTTGATCCAAACACGATATTCATCTTGTAAACTTATTCCTTTGTTGCAATATTTTTATTGTCTAGCTGATACCATAAGTAGATGGATTAAAATATCTGAATATACATGTCAAGCCAATCAGAGTATCGCAATATTTTTCTGATTATACCTATAATTGAATTTCAGTTAACTTTACAAATTGGAAACCAAAAGGCATTGTGGCTCTAGCTCTGCAGACCAGAAGCCATGAAGGAATCTAGAGCATTACCTAAATGTAAAATTAGAAATTTAGAATGCTTACGATTGATTATGAGCAATCACAAAGATATCAAGAATGACAAAGAAAATACAAATATTAGAAGGAACCTTGCAACCAGCATATTGCACATGTTCAACAATAAAATCCATACCTTTGTATCATATGTCATCCCAGGCATGAAATTAACATCTGGCCTGAAAGTATAATCCTCTTTAACTACTTCATCAGGATCAAACTCAAAGTACATGGCTGCTTTCTTTAATTTATTATCCATTCCATCAGCCAATGAATTGTACCCCTCGTCTAGATCATCCATCAGACCTGATTTGTTCTCAAAGTTATACGAATATCCAATCCCAGATCTATCATGTGCCTTCTCTGCCCTGTCAAGCTTTTGGTAAAACGAGAATGAGCTGAGATTAGGTCGATTCCCATCACCAAAGATCCGTTGCTCGAAATCATCGACAGACTCTGATGAGTTTAAATTCTCCCTGCCACTGGTACCTGCATATTCCAGGAATATACGGGTGTATTCTTTTATCAAATTTCCCCATATTTCTATTATTCACCGAAAATATTCCCCCAAAACACATAAAATTAAACATTTATTTTTTATCTTTGATATTATACTAAAAATTAATTTTACATTTAAAACATCGTATCAACACTTATTTATATCACATCGTATAACTATTTCAATTCAAAAATTTTACTATTTAAATCCCAACAAAAAATCCAAACCCCCAAACAAACACACCCTACAATTCTTTACCAATAAATAGGCCTTCCTTTTCAACAATCATTAACATTTCCATTGCAGGCCCCCTTTGAATAAGAAGAATACAAATTTCTTAATGCCAAAAAGCCTTGGTATGTTACCTTAAACAAATGATCTTCATTATTAAACATCGGGTAAACGAGATAAATGACATAATCGATAAGCATAGACAGAAAATATCATATTTGAACTTCGGTAACAAGGGCAACCAAAAAAACCAAATCAAATAAATGAAAACCTTGACAAATGGAATGTATATAGAACCTGAAAATGGACTGGCAGAAAAAGCCCGGATTATTGTATGAGGAGTTTGAGATCGACGAAATAAAGCAGCGTGTGCAGACCGATATAGGCTTGGATTGAATTTCATTTCCCCGTCGACGAAAGGTAGACAGACTGCACTATGCCAACAAAAATTAAACTAATAGACTCAACAGAAGAAATCTAAAATCAGCACTGTTAATTACAAGTATCATCAAAACCCTAAATGCCATATCAGCAGGCATTTGAATATATGAGAACTGTATATAATTCAAAATTAGTATATACCGTTTATACCGAACTACGAATATAAAGGTTATACTGAATTTTGTTTAAAAGAAATTCTTCATTCTGATGCAGAGCAATCTTCGAACAGAATTTTCACCCACACACAGCTTCTTGCATACAATAATACAATACAAGGAACAAGAAACACATCGCACAGTCAGACCTTGGGAATGATTGGTCGACGAGGCGAGACTGCAAATCGGTGATTGCGACTTCGGAGTGGGGAGGAGACGCGCCGCGCGCGACTGCGACGATGGGGAAGGGCGGCCGCCGGCAGCGCGCTCTGCGAGGAATCGATTCGGAGAGTGAAGGAGTACGTATGCTGCTGCCGTATCGAATTGAATTTGAGAACGAATTTGGGATACTAGGGTTAAAGTCTTCTTTTTTAGAGTTTTATCCCTGCTTGTTTTGTACACACAAATGACTTACAGAAAAATAAATATGACTTCATTTGAGAATTAAATTATTTTTTATTATCTAGATTTATTTCTCATATTTATAAAGAACTGCAAAAAAGATGATACTTAAGAATGTGTCAGATTTTTTCTTTTTTTATTTTATTTTTTACTATTTAACTTCTATAAATTTTTATAAAAATAATTTTTGTTCATTTTACAAGTCATTTTTTTACTATTTAACTTTTATAGATTTTATAATAAAAATTATTTTATTTTATAAATATTAAGGGAATGAGAAAATTATAAAAAGTATTCTTTATATATATTTTATTATCAATTTTGTTATTTATTTATTTTGTTAACAATTGTTATTTAGGTTATATTTGGTAGCGCGTGGAACAGGTGTTGTGTTGTGTGAACATTACGACAGTCAAATGACAAAAATGACGATTTTTTAAACGTCTATAATATATTTTATCAATAAAATAAATAAATAAATAATAGAAATAATAATGGAGTATAATGAAAGAATATTTAATGCAATTTTTTGTTATGGATGTGTAATATAGATAGATAATTGTTTGATTTAGAAATAAATGATTTTATCTTCTCTAATTCTTTTTTTTTTCACACACTAGATATAGAGATAAATAAAATTGAAAAAACGCAGTGTTGTATATTTATTTATTTTAGAATTTAAATTTTTACAATGTGGTCTATATTTATTGTTATTTTTTATTTTCTATTATTTAATTTTTACAATTTTTATATTATTTCAATTTTATAAAATATTATATTTAAATTTTTATTAAAATATATTATCAGATTAAAGAAATAATTAAATAAATACAATAATATTTTTTTATCCAATTTATTATTTTTTAGTGATTGGTTTAATATTTTTTCTTAGCAATATACTGTCCTTTTTATATTGTTGTATTTTATATATGGGTACGGATCTGGTGCTGATGGGTGTACCATCAGCACCACGCTGATAAAATATGAGCCACACATCATAATAGATTAGATTTTAACGGTTGAGATTAAATAGAGGCTGGATGGTAATTTCGGAATAAGGGTAAAGGGTTTATGCTTCTTCTATTTGTACAAATCCTTCTTCTTCAATACGCATTCTTCTTCGATACGGATTCTTCATCAAACTCGCATTTTCCATCAAACTCGTTCTCTCGATCCTACATTGTCATCAATCTGTTTGCAACTTTAATTCTTCGTCTTCATCTTCTTCAGCCCGTTGCCTCGTTCCTAATCGACGACACAGACGCGCGCAGGGTTCTTGATTTCATCATCACCGGTTGCTCCCAAGATTCGGTAAGTATTGAAAGTTTAATCGTTCGTTAAATGTTTCTCTCATTCCATGTTACCCAAGTGAAATAGTTGTTCTTGTTGTTGTAGTTTTGGAAAAGCCCTAGTCCCATTAATCGCAATTCTTCGAAAGAAATCAACATGTCAAAGGATCTTATCATTCAACTGCCTTGCGTTCCGAGGAAGGTCGTCCACCTCAATGAATCTTTACAGAAACCCTGTCGAGATTCGATTCGGAGGTATATTCAAACTAGCCATTTCAAAGGATTGTTCCATGTGAAGCCAATGGCTATTTCCGTGGCTCCTATCATGAAATTATTGAGTTATTGGGACCCTAATAGCTAGTGCTTTCATTTATCTAATGGGAATAAGTGGTATATTACCGATCGGGATGTTGGTGTTGTCTATGGGCTGCCATATGGCAAAAATAAGGAACTTATTTCAATGTACGAGTCTGATTCTTTTTACAATTTTGCTGATAGATTTAGTTTAGATATGGAACTCATAGGAGCGGATAAAAAACATATAGTTGAGTCTTCGTTAAAGGAGTTACTAGATAGTAGTAGACTAAGGAGTGATGTTAATTTTTGGCGGATATATGTAATGTATTGCATGTGTGTCTTGCTTACGCCCATATCAAATGCGAAGATTAATCATCGCATATTCCAGTTCCTTGAGTCGAAGGAGTTGGCAAATGAGTTTAATTGGGCTGGTTTTGTTCGGGATAAGATTGTGGAGGGTCTGGATACAATGTCTAAAAAATTCAAGAAAAAAGCTTTGGTTAGTGGAAGGCCATCTGGGGACATGCATTGCTTAATGGTAAATTAAAATATCATGATCACTTTGTTTTCTTTTTTGTTTTATTGTTTTCATTGTGTAATATGCTTTTTTTTTTTTTTCAGCATATGTTTTTTGATAAGTTTCACAACGAGAAATGCGGTGTGCGCTTTTTTTCATGTCATCTCAATCGAAAAATAACATTGGAAGATGTTGCCAAGCTATTCGGCCCTAAAAAAGTTCGATCTGCAAAGGTTAGATTTTGTCATCCAGTTTGAAATATATACTTTGGATACGCCGAGTTCATGGTTTATTTGGCCTGCTGGTTGTTCCACTGTGATATGTAAAGCATTTTACTTGTTGATATGATGAGTTAACATCTCTGAAATGCCAGATTTGATGCATTAACTGGTACAGGGGAGGATGGTATACATATTGTTTGTTTTTTCCCACTGGTTTCTCCACTGTGGTATAAGCAATACTTATTCATATGCTAAGCAATCTTTGTTGATATGCTGGATTAATATCTCCGAAGTGCTGGATTTTGATGTATTAGCTGATACAGAGCAGGATAGTGTACATGTTTGTTTTTTCATGTTGAGTGGTCCACTGTGATATGTTAATCAACAGTTGTTGATATACGGGATTAATATCTCTGAGATGCTGGATTTGATGCATTAACTAATATAGTAGGATGATTACATATTGTTTGTGTTTATGTTGATTGTTCCAATATGGTATGCTAAGTAATACTTGTTGAAGTGCTAAAGTAATGATTTTGGATTGTTGTCTTGATTCCTTGATACAGTGGTACAAGAATGAGATTATGCGGGTGTCCAAAAAACTCCGCAATTTAAAGAAAGAATACAAGAAGAAATGTGAGGGCCATGAAGATGACATTGCTGATGGCAGCAAATTTTCTGAAAAAAAAATGTTAGTGATTTCAATGTTATGAGTTGATCTGTAGTATATCCATTGCTTTTCTTATACAATTGCAGTGTATATAAGCCTTAATCCTGAATATTGTATAGAAATTTTTTGAATGTGATTTGCCCCGGCCGGAGGAAGCTGTCAATGAAGATGAAGGTCTTCATGGACATAATGTAGAGAATGTGATTTAAGTTGTATGAGTTTGTAGTTTTCATCTTGTTATGTTATATAATATCAATTGTTTTTCTTGTACAATTGCAATGTATACAAACTTTAATCCTGATTATTATCACAGGAATTGGTTGGGTGCGATTTGCCTCTGGAGGAGGAACTTGCCCATGATGAAAAAACTACTGAACAGGTATTTGTAATTGATCATTGTTAGATAACCATTATATCCTCTATATTTTGAATTAATTAAGAATATATTTTTGATCATTGTTATAGCAGCAAGTGCAAACTGAGGGAGCGGATTGTGAACCTCCCACAAAGAAATAAAAATGCGATGCAGAAATTGATGTTAACCCAATGAGTCTTTTTTTACTTGGGTTAACACAGGATTTTGAGAATGTTGTCAGACCTATGAAGGAAGATTCGCCAACCAAAATTACGCTGAGTACTTGCAAGGTATAACTAATTATATATTGCCTTTTAGCTTTGTTTATAATTGCATATATGAGACCTTTTTTAAGACTAATGAATTTATTTGGAAGGAAATTGTTTTATATGAGTCAACTGAACGAGAAAACATCCACTCTCCAATGTCCTCCCTTCCCCAGCTCCAGACAAAAGAAATTAAGGTTCATCGCGATCGATTGCCATCGAAAGTTTTCTGTTCTCCCTATGAAACTTCCTCCAGTATTTTTGATGTGTTCAAGTTGAGTGAGGAGGAAGAGAGGACCGTCAAGTGGGCATTTTATTTACAGCGCGCACCAGCGGCTGACTTGGGAGATATTATTTTTTTGGATGGAGTCACTGTGATATTCAAGCATGATATCCAGAGATTACGTCCATCATCCGACGTTGCAAGCAACGTGGTTGATGCATTTGGTACCTTTCTGAATAGAACAGCTTTAAGAGAAAGCAAGCACATCGGTGTTCCAATGCCCAAGTTTTGTGTATCATCCAACGTGGCTGTGAGTATATATTTACATGTGCATAAAATATGTATCGAAGATAATTATTGATCATATATAATGCTAACTCGTTGAGTATTTGATGCTTATGGCAAACCTTAACTGATGCTCTATTTTTCTATGCATCTAGTATATGGTGCGCGTTGAGATCGAGAATAATTTTCCCCGGAAAACTGACAAAGAACTGGTGAAGGAATGAGAGCGACAATTGGACATAAAATACCTTGGCAATGATCGGATTGAATACTTAAAGGCTGACAATGTGAGAGTCTTTTTATGTATATATGGAATGCTGAGTTTAACAAGCTGAGATGATGATATGATGCTTTATGATATGCTAAGTTGGTTTTGTGTATATTATTGCAGTTCTTTTTTCCATTCTGTCGTTCGAACCACTGGGTGTTGTTTTCTGTGTCCATTCTTCGTAAGAAAATTTTTTATTTCAATAGCTTAAATTTTGTTGATGGATGGAATTCGGACTCAGTGATTTTTGAATGACTTTTTGGGTATTTTCGACGGGCTGCAAGGATATTATTTCCCGACCCACTGTGGGATGCTCCTTATACAGTTGAGTTGCCACCCCATGTTATGCAGTCGGATATCCACAGTTGTGGTGTTTTCACTATGTTCTACATGGAAAACTGATCCATTGACTTGACTGGGCAGGTTTGTGAGCAAATTGCCAGGCGTGAATTTTTGGATAGATTGCGAAAAAGGTAGTGTGTACAAATCTTATTGTAGGAGGAGAATTGTAATATTAGGGATGTGAAAGAGAGGTCATTGCTTGCTTCTGGTGCTGAGATTGCATGCGCTGAAGATGAAAAAGCTGATGCGCAGCCGTTTAAGGGTCGTATT